ACATTTTGTATAATGAATACGATGTGTTTAGATTTCTCCAGATCGAATTCAAGAAAATTATTGTCAAACTATAACTTTACTAATTTAAAAACTTGGTTAGCTTTGCTGTACAGACTTTCAATATATTTTTCTTTTAGTAATATGATTGTATCATCTGCAAAACTAATTAATTTGGCATCAATATTTAAATTTAGTAAGCCATTCATAAAAATAAATATGGATCCAAGGACCATTCCTTAAGGTACGTCATGGCTCATATTTTGGAATTGACTAAAATTATTATTTATTTTAACCTTTTTTAATCTATCTGATAAATAGGTTCTAAATAGTTTAATAGCTGTACCGCAAATTCCAGAATAGCTCAACTTCCTTAACAAGACTTTGTGATTAACACTATCAAAAGCTTTAACATTCAGGAAGATACCCATTACTTTATTTATTTAAATCCAAATTTATATGAATAAAAAGTATACATCAGTTGTCAATTAAAAAGGCATTATATATTTTCTTTAATAATATTTGTTTGATGTATCGATTTTCCCATTTTTCCCATGTTTTTTTTCCTGGCAATTCACATTTGCTGGGAAAATGTTGAGAAAATCTAAAACTAACCTCCCTGAAGTTAAGATACCTTTCCTGTCAGATTTCCTTTCAGAAAAAGTGCTGTTATTGTAAACCAGAGCAAAATTGATGGTAAAAAAGTTGTTCACAGAAAAAAAAAATCGTAATATTTTACTAATATATTTCGTACATTTTCCCGATCTTTTTCGGTTATTCACATTTGCTGAGAAAACTCATAGGAAAAAGGAAAAACGACCTCCTTAAAGTACCTCTTCACAACGATTTACTTTCAGAAAAGGTGCTACATTTAAAAATCAGATCAAGATGAACTCTAGAAGAAAAGTTGTCCACAGTAAAAATAATAATTAAAATAAACATCTTTGTAAGACTGCAAGCTTCTCACTCCACTCAGAATCTAAAATGTATAGGTATAAACTTAATCATGTAGTAGATAGAATACCTACCAGTTTCCTACTTTAGATTCTGAGTGTAGCAAAGATTTAATGTTTTTTATTTTATTTATGTGAACACTTTCTACCGGAAAGCTTAATCTGATGTATACAAAGTAGACCCTTTTATGAAAAAAATTTTCCTAAGGTGGTACTTTGGGTGAGGTAATTTTTCGTTTTTCCCAGCAAATGTAAAAAAACCCAAAAAGAAACAAAAGAAAAACAGGAAAATTAGTACAATATTAAACAAAATATATAACGCCAATTTAATTATTTTACCATAATATGACATATATATCGTTGACAAAGTATCACTATCAACTAAACTCTGCTTAGAATCTTTTTTTCTTTAACAATGGTTTATCGTTGCTTAGAGATATACATTAAATTACCTATAACATTGGCTGCACCCGTCTCCACTATCCTAGAACGTTTTTGTTTTCTTTAATATATTAAATACGGTTCTGTATCCTACCTTCCCAACTTCCTAAGCAAAAGATGTGCTCTTAAAAGTTATTTAAATTTTATTTTATTAAAATACTGAAACTCAATTTTTTCCTATCAAAAAACTTTTCTCCTACATTAGACATAACTACCGTAGGGTGGTCCTTATTTTTCGCTTGTGATTTTGTTCAGGTTACCCCCCCTAAAAAGGTTCGATTACTAAAAAAAACGCTACAAAAAAAGTTTCAGGCAAATTCATTAATATTAACCCGTGCCACAACAGCTCTAAATGTACAAAAATAGAAAATTTTCAGTATTATCAATTTTTTAAATTTTTTTTTAATATAACTCCAGAAAAAATATACTTAAAAAAAATTTGTTAAAATATAAATGATAGAACACTACATTTTCTACAATTTGTTTCATATATAATATTTTGCAAATATATTATTTTTTCAAATATTTTAATTACAAGGTAAAAACAAGAATAATCTTATACATTTTAATATTTAAGGCAATTTAAAATACAACTAATAATTATTTATAATAACAATTTACAATTATAATAACATTGTTGCCTAATTATTTTATCTGTAATATATTTTAATTATAAATGATAAAACTAAATTATTGTGATAGTGCAGTAAGTGTTTCTTTTTTGTGGTCAGGATATTTTTTGCGGTAATCACTAACAACTTGTAGAAGGTATTGTTTTTGAGATTCGTTTTTGGTAATTTTGTCATTATAGTCCTCTATAAGTTTTACTCCTCTTTCTGCTACATCGTTTATTACTGGAATATTTTTTTATAACTAACAAAGCTTTAGAATAGTCTTCATTATTTTCCCAATTAATTGGATCTTCATTCAAAANGAAGATGATGAGTTGAACCATACTTTTATGTATAATCGTACAATAAAAACGCAAATACTTCTCAAAGCACTTTCTTCTTTTGGTGTTAAATGAAATTGTTCGCGAAATAAATATATTTTCAAGCTATAAATAGCTTTGGCCATCCACCGCGCGTGATGAATGGCACCTGGCATTTTAAATCGAATATTATTAGGAAGTTTTCCACCCAGAAAAATTACTGTTAATTCTAGTAACTCTCGGTAATCATCTCTTGGGTGATTTTCTAAAAGTTGATCTCTAGAAAATTTGATAATATCATCACATACGTTATTTACAGAATCCATTATAATACTATTTTGTATGCCAGGATTATAATTTTTAGTATTTATTGTTCCCCAGGCATGTTGGAACCTTTTAAAAATGGCCACGTCTGGGCCCGATATCGCCCTAAATTTTAAATCGAATACACTTTTTAGTTTAATTTCATACATATGATGGCGACATGGTAAATATACGATTTCGCGTTCTAATAGTTGCTCTAGCAAAACACAAGCTCCGTTTAAGCGACCTGTATTTGATGCTGTAGTATCAGAACAAAATGCTTGTACATTTTCATCTAGACACCAATCTACAAGCGTTCGGTATACTGCGTTAGCTTGTTCAGGTCCAGTTCCAGTATTTAGCGTCGGAACACCTAGCAGTTGTTCCTGAACATTAACGGAAGCTATTATAGGAAGCCTAGATCAACTAATCCTTTTCCCGTTAATGTTGGAAGAAGTTTTCTATCCCAGTGTATAATAACTGCCTCTTCTTTTGCCAAGTTATAGTCCCGACGTATTTTTTCGGCACGCTCCTTACGATATTCTATACGAGCGCGTCGAATTGAAGACCGGTTTATAATAAGTGTATTAACATTATTACCCAAAGCCTCTGCAGCAGCAATTAAAAGATGTACAGCATTCTTGTCACTGACTTTACATTTGTCCAATACAATTGCGAGTTTTTCGGAGATAAAATCATCGTGCCCTTTGCTTAATTTTAAAAATTTATTTGATGGACCAATAGCATCTTCATGTATAAATTCCTCACTATCTACATCGTCATATTTGTCAGAACTACTTGACGACTGTAGTCCTACAGTTTTATCTGAAATTAATTTTATATTATTACACATTTATTGAAATCAAAATTAATATTATAGACTAAAAACGTACACAAAGCTTCAAGTTCATCACGGGCACGATATTTTCTTTTATTTGTCGCTTGTTTGCTATCTTCTATGATTTTTTCTTTTTTTTATCATTTTTTGATCAATACCAAGCAACGACCCAGGTTGACCTTTCTGTCTCTGGGCTATTATAAATACTTTGTCATTCTCAATAGACAGTAAATCTAATGCATTTGCACTCGCTACGTCGAATAAATCATCTAACTTTGATAGAAACTGCGTATTTTTTTCCATTTGCACTNATAATATAAATTATAGAAAACAAACTATTGTAAATTTAGTTTTCTTTAATTTATAATCTAAAAAATGTATCGTGAGATTCTTTTCTCTAGAGTCAAGTTGGTTTTATAACAAAAACTTAACGATTTTGAAAAATTTTCTATATTTGTAACTTCAGAGCTGTTGTGGCACGGGTTAAATTTATTTGATTTGTCTAAAACTTTATTTATATATTATTTTTAGTAATGGAACTTATTAGGGGGAAGTAATTTGAAAAATTTGGTTATTTTTTTTTTTCATACATAATAGAGGACCACCCTAAGCTACAGATTATGATTTTAATATAGTTATCAGACAATTATTATGGTATAAATTAAATAACTTAAATTGAATACCTGAGAGCAGCAAGACATGTCCATATTTGTCAAAATTAGTTTTTTATTGCATATTTTTAAGAAAAAAATTTGTTGTTTAGTACAACAACCAGACAAATCCAAAAGTTAAAAACACAGATATCATACAAATGTAGATGTCTGGTTTTTATTTTAGTACAACAAGAAGACACTTCCAAAAAGTTTTAAGTGCAAAAAAATTGTATTAATTAGAGATGTTGTTTGTTGTTGCTCTCAGGTCTTCAATTACAATGTCATTATAATATAAGAAACAAATGGCTTTCATAAATATTATATTTAATATAAACTAGATAGTTAAATTATAATTAAGTGACTAATGGTATAGTAATGGTAGTAGTATGAAATCAAACAAGGAAATAAATGCTACTATGGTGAACTTACAAAGTTACTAATTAAGTGTCAGGGAGATTGAAAAAAACAATTGTATACTTCTTGATATGACCAGTTACAATGTATGCTCCAAAACTTAGCAGCTCAAAAAATTTACGCAAATAAGTTTATCGTTTTTGAAAGAAGTTTTGCAAAGAATTTATAGTCCAGTTAACTATTTTTAAGATATGTGAAAAAAATATGAATTTTAATTTTTTGGTATAAAACCATTAATCTATTAAATTATTCTTAAATTTTTTTAAAAATTAAGACTTTACGCAGTTATATTATGTAAACCTAAAGCATAGAAATATGTTTTTGATCAAAGGGAAATTATAAAACTGTAATTTATGTCTTCTGAACAATTTCAAAAAGTAGAAATACCCTGTTATTGTGTATTCAATCAAAATCATTTAATGTAAATAATTTATAATTTAACTAAACAAACAAACAATACAAAATTTTACATCCAATTAATTACAAAATCAATAGTTTTATTAGTTTATTACTTTAATAAGAAAAAATAAATAATAAAATAAATCAAATTTAATGTATTTAAGAATGTAGTTTTTTACTCTATAGACTAAGTGATGAATTTATCTATCAACAATTTATTTTGGCGTACCGCGTACTGGAACTATGTAAATACAAAAAAAATCACTATAGTCTATATAGAAGTAATGTAAAAAAAAAAGAATAAGTATAATATAGGTACAATAAAAATGTTTATGATATTTACACAAATGTAATGCATTTAGATTAAGACAAGAACACATGTTGTGGTTCACTAAATGGTCCAGTTCGGTGATATGAATCAACAGCTCTTATTGCAAAATGATACTTTTCGCCTGACTTAAACTGTAAACAAAAAAATCGAAAAAAACAAAATATAGTTTTACTTACATAATATAATTAGATTATGTTTACTTGAGTAAGTGAGCAGGCCATTGGTAGGGGAAGAGCATTTACATCACCAATTTTCTTCCACAATTCTGTTTTAGCCGGTTCGTTATCTAATTCATGGTAAGCAAAAATTTGATAACTATTTACAGTAGCAAATGCTTTATTCATTGCAGGCATATTCCATGAGAGTACCAGTGCTGTAAAATAAAACCATTATTTACAAATTAATAAAATAATAATAATAATTCAGTAAAATATTTGTAGAAAATAAATTACCCCTCGAACTTTGTGTTGTTCTTGTAATGGTTACTTTAGGTGAAGGAGGTAGTTTTTTCCATGTGGGAAGACTTCTTTGATGTGGAATGGGAGGCAATGGGGCAGGGTGCTAATGATTCAAATTAAAATATTCCATTAGTATACATTATCATACCTTTTTTCTTTTTTTTTTTTTTTTAAAGTATATTTACAAAAAAATAAGTAAATATTAAACTCACTTCTAAGTTTACAATAGGTATTGCAGGAGGTACAGGTTGTAAGGTTTTATTTTGCCGAGTTTGTGCAGATGTCACTTGTCCATTACGTTGAGATTGTAATTGAAGTGTAGAATAAGTAACATTACCCGACCTTGCTCGTCTAGATGTAACTGAAAAAATAAAGTTTTAGAATAATACTCAATAAAATATAAATAAATGTGCAAAACAAATATATATATATATATATATATATATATAAGTGGTTTTTGTGAGAACAGTGTCATGTTAAAGATAAACACTTTCCAGAAAACAATAAAATGTTAATTTTCACCAAAAAAAAATAAATATTTTATTAATTTTAAACATCCACATTTTTTAAAAATGTTTACCATAAAGTAATTTCAAATTAATTTAATTGACACAAGCAATATAATTATTCTCTGACATGACATCTTTGACACATAGACATGGCATTAATTGCACAACAAAATGTATATGATCTAATTCTATAAACTTATATTATTAATATCACTTATCAAATAATGCACATGTATTTTGCATCCTTCTATACTAAATTTAATAATTTCATAAATAAACCACATAAACATATTATATAATATTGAATTCAATACATTAATTCAACACTTAAAATTTTATTTAAAAAGCAACATATTTAATAATAGTATAACCCTTCAGGTTTAAATTTTAATGAACTTCTAAAATATAATACTTCCACTTTCCATAATTGTTTTGTCCAAAACCGGTGGCCGCCCAGAATATTGTTTATCATGAACCTTTGTAAGTTTCTTTGAATTCCCTGCACACGTGTTGTATGCTCATTCAGTTTTTTCCAAAAGCTTAAAATAGTTGGGATTAATGTCCACCGGCGCAGTGATTTTAGCAAACAAAAAACGTATCACAGAGGCTAACTCACACCTGGTGAGAGAAGCGAGTGGGAGCTCTATCTCTAACAGACGCCTAGTCAAAACTGAGTGTTGCAGACAACTCACAAGAGCAGTGACTGGGAGAAAGAGAAAGCTAGGCTACAAACCAGTGTCACTAAATCCCACATAACAGAGCTTCTGACTTCTACAGCTCCTTTGGAACCTTATTTTACGAACAACCATAGTGTACAAGTTGAGTAATATAATAATAATTGGTTTTATTTGTTTGATAGCTAAATCGCTAACTAATAATATTAATGCTAATATAAATCATAAAATACTAAACTTACTGTTTGCAGTTACCATATGTTATGTTTAGTTCTTAAGATGGTATTAATAGTACACATTATGTAAATTAAAAGTATAGAAATAATTAAAAAATAAATAAACATTAATAAAGCAACAAACTCTTTAACTATACAACGTTAGTAAATAGTAGTACCTATGTTAAAAACTGACTTGACACTACAAATAATATGTATTGTTTTAGATTTAACAGTTATTGGATCATTTGTTTAAAAAAAATGATAAATTGTCCTACAATTATTGTGTATGATTTCAAAATGATCAAAAAATATGACTTACTGTTCTCACAAAAGTCAGCCATATATTTATTTATTTGTTTTGCATATTATATACCCATATATATTCATATATACATTATATAAAAATTAATTTTTAAAATATTGAAATAGTTTTCAAAATAAAAATTACATGCAGTATTATTATTGTTAGTACTTACTTGCAACAGGTACAAGCCGTCCATTATTGAATACAAAAGGTTGAGGGTGATGTGGTTTAGGAATATTCAAATTTGCAACAGTAGATACCTAAAATTTAAATTAATTAATTATTTTAAAAACAAACAATTTTATGAACTAACTCTAGCTCCTGCATTAGTTGTCCTTACTATGCAATTTGAAACTTGTGATAGTTCTATATAACCTAAATTTGATGGTAAATATTGTGATGAAACATTGGTTGACTGAAAAAATAATACGTTATGTGATTTTAATTATTAAGTTTTACAATAATAATACCTATTTAAAGTATAAAATAGTAAAATTAATTATACATATACATTGTTAACAAAGCAACACTATTATCCAAACTCAGCTCAGAATAGTTTTTCGTTAGCAATGGTTAATCACTGTGTACAGATATACATTAAATTTCCCCTATATCTTCCAAACTTCTCGCCTTCAACTACTGTGGCTACCTCACATGTGAAAGTATGGCTGTCTTTCTTGTCATAAACCAGCAATTTTCTCAGAGGATTTTAAGTAAATTAGATTTCTGTTTTTGTTTTTTTTTTTTTTTTTTAATCATTGTGGAAACGTTTAAGCTTTACTTTAAAATTATTCCTGATTTTTTCCCCTATTCTGTACATTTTCAATAAGTAGGTATATAATTTTGTTTTTATTTTAAATAGGGACCCCTTTTTTTAACACTGATTCAAATAAAGAATATTTTTCTGGATATTTTGATATGTATAACACTATTATCAGATTTACTGTTTTATTAGTTATAACAGTTTAAAGTTTAGACCCTCCGGTCTAAAGAATAGAGAAGGATTATACAATGCTTATCTAATTTTAAATGATAAATTGATAACTCTTCCCTGGTCTAAACTAGAGGTATAACTCATAAATGGTCAACCTGATATGAGTGTTATACGTACCGAAATTCCTTTAAAAATATTATTTATTCAAATCTGTATCCAAAAAAAAGGGTTCCTACTTGAAAAACAAAAGTGTGTACTTATTTAAGGTACAAGGAGTAGGAATAAAAAAATTAAACATGATATTAAATTAAAACTTAAATGGTTTCACACTAAAAAAAAAAAAAAAAACAGAAATCTAATTCACTTAGAATCCTCCAAGATAATTACTGGTTCATGATAAAACAAATCACTCTATACTAGTATCTCTTAAAAATAAAAAAATTATCAGCCAAAATTTTTAGTGATAAAAGTTAAATACTATACATTATTTAATATTTGGCTATGTGCTTAAAATACATAATTTTTCTTAATAATTGAAGGGCTACGGAGAAAAAAAAGGATAAAGGTCAATATTCCTAAAATGTTCAGTATTGCAGTTTTAAAGTTTTAAAATTCAAAAAAGCTGAGAAATTATAACAAGCTAATTAAGAAAATTTTAGTTGTACAAATAGTTCTAGAAAAAATGAATAACCAAAAATTCAACTTAATTTTTTTATTAATTTAAGAAAAATAAAATTACAAAAAAAAATAAAACTGACATTTATCTTTTTTGCTTGTTATTATAATTATTATAATTACCAGTCGTTTTGATGGAGATCCTGAAGCTTGAACCGTTTGTATAGGTGATTTATTTAAAGTATATTCATTTGATGTTTCACTTCCATCTTCATTTGTTAAATCAATGGTAGAATTGTTAAGTATAACATTATTTATGGAATTTATGGGCACTGCTGGCGGGACAGCTTTTTTAATTACAATAGGTGATATTCTAAAGACATTTGTTGGTGATTGTACTTGCTAAATTTAAATTAATAAAAAAAAAAATACAATATTAAAAATTGTTTTTAATTATATAAGCGATACAATACAATTATATTATTAATCATGGTGATTAATTTAATTTGGACACCAAATTCATATTTTGACTGTAAATCAAATAGTTAATAAATTAGTAATAATATAAATAAAATGTCATGTTCAAAATAAAACTGCTAGTTACCAAATAATAAACCAAACTTCAAAATTCAAATGTAAAAAGCTTTTATTTAAGAATTTTCACTTGAAGCTAACAAAAATATCTAACACAGTTATTGGCGGTGTTTTTACTAATTCTAAACTGAAAATGAAAACAAAAAGAAATTTAAAGATTTTTTTTTGGTCTTACTTATAAAGATAATTGAATGTCTGGTAGATTGGCGTTCAGATAATCAGTTTTACTATACCTACATTACTTGCTCAATGCTGATCCTTTATAAATACGTTTTAACACTGAACAATTTTGTATGTCTCCACAAATACTATTTACATTCATTTTTGCTCACAATATACGTTTCTTGTATTATTTTCACAAATGCCACTCAAATTCACTTTTTTCAAACCCCTCCATCCACTATATCATTCTTAAAATCCTATACATCTTATATCCTATAAATCCTATATCCTATTGCACATACCTACTATTCATCAACTAGGTATTAAACTATAAACTATTATGCTTAAGTATTGAATAAAATAATGATCAGTTTTTAATTTTATGCATGAGTACCATTAAAAAACATTTATACGATTATTTAAATTGTTGGTGCATTTGTTTGTACAGCAAAAATTCCAAACTAAAAAATTCACTAGGTAAAGATTTATTTGTATTATAAAGGTATCAATCTAATATAAATAATTATTAGAATATTACTATTATTCAAATTGAAAAAAAAAATAAATATAAAAAAGATAGGAAAAAATACATAATAATAACTAACTACATATTTATCAATAATTTATGAATGAGCTGAAGTAATTTGCAATGCGGCTTTCAAAAATACAGTATCATAGAAAAACAAAAAAATGTTATATTATACTTTCTCTAGAATATTATTTGGACAACATGTATCACATTCTTAATCTAGTGTTTATTAACTTGTCAACTGTGAATGAGACAAATTAAATGTATAAAGCTCAATTTAATTGTCAACAATTGTTAATGTCTAAGTTAATATAATGATTATGTGCAATAATAACATTCTTGGAATTTTCAAAATCATAAAATAGATTGAGGTTACTTCTCAGTGCCTTATTCCGCTAAAAAAAAAAAAAATCAAAATCGGATTACAGATTTGTAATTTTATTTTGCATTAGATGCATATTTTGAGTTTCTTTTATCATTAGGGTATATTTCTTCTATTTTATAATAATTGTTGAGATCTACCCATTCTGTTTGCAATTTATTTTTTTATTTTTGAAGTAATTTATTTTTATTTACAAAATACCTAAAGTTAAATCACCATTATATTTCGTAATTAAAAAAATGATGTGTCTAAATTTAATTCTATAATGTTAAATGAATGTGTGTCAAGGTTAAAAATTTTAAAAACTGAAATATTTTTTTAGAATCGGAACAAATATCTGTAAGTTTTAACTATTAATTACCTAAGTAAATTTAATTTAGTTAATAAATTTTAAAAAAGAAAAAATGTTTTTAATTTCAAATTACCTAACTACCTATTTTAGGTTATTTTATTTTACATATAAATGCATATTTTGTGTATTTAAGTACCTTTAAGTGACTTTTTAAAACTACAGGTTCTCTGTCCTAGTTATGAATAAAATAATTATATTTATAATTCTTATTTTTTTCCGAAATTATTGAACATTCAATATTCATGCTTAGAACACTTTAAACATATTTACTATGGGCTAACTTTATTTATTTAGTTATTTGTAATAAAAATAAATACAAATTTTTACTAGAAAGGTATAATTTTTCACATGCAGCCAGTCAAATTCTCAGTTTTACTTTATAATATAAATAACTGCTGTAAAGTTCATTACAATGAATATTTATTAAGATTTTTTTTTATAAACATTTTATAAACAAAATGCTCCAATTTGACGTGGAGTTATTATTTTTAGGCAAGCTTTACATAAAATAGTAACCTATCTAATAGCTTCAAAATGTTATACCATTTTTTTTTTCTCATGCCTAAAGACACTTCATACAAATTAATAATTATTACCTTTTTTGGAGTCGTATTTTCAAGAATTTTCGATGTTGACGGCATCATACCATCAATCAACGTTTTTGATGTTGAAGGCATCATGCCAGTTAATTTTTTTGATGTTGACGGCATCATAATAGTTAATGTTTTAGATGTTGACGGCATCATACCATCAATCAATGTTTTTGATGCTGAAGGCATCATGCCAATTAATGTTTTTGAAGTTGAAGGTATCATATCAGTCAATGTTTTAGATGTAGAAGGCTTCATACCAGTCAATGTTATTGATGTTAACGGCTTCATACCATTCAATGTTATTGATGTTAACGGCATCATACCAGTCAATGTTTTTGTTGTTGATGGCATCATACCAGTCAATGTGTTTGCTGTCGACGGCATCATACCAGTCAATGTGTTTGCTGTCGACGGCATCATACCAGTCAATGTTTTTGATGTAGATGGCATGTCTTTTAATGTAATTTCCGTTGTAGATGGTGTGTCATCTAATACTTCACTAAATGATATAACGTCATCACTATCAGTCAAACCTTCCACAGGATCATTATCATCACAAAATTGTGTGCCTATATCTGTGTTGGTAATATCTACAATTGGATCACTCTCGTCTATTGTAATATCTATAGTTTGCGGAGAAGCGTCTACACTTGTTTCAGTATTATTACTTTTAGTATTCGGTTCCTAAAATCAAATAATATAATTTTGTTTACATTATGAATTTAATAATAAAAATAAAACAATTTTGTCACTCAATAACTAATTTACTTTTGAGCATATTACAGCTTGCAGACCTACAGTCCTTTGAACTAGATGAGGTTTAGAAGGTTTATTTAATTTTAATTCATGAGTATGCAGTTTTACGACAGCCTTTATTTCTCTCATTTGTTTTGCTAATATTGCATATTTCATCAGCCAAGAATGTTCTCTATTATTAATCGCCTGTATTTCTGAGCGCATTCGTCCTGGGTTGAATCTATCTGTCATATATTCCATAATCTTTACTGTACATAATGCTTCAAATTGCTAATAAAAAGGATTACATTTATTTATTTATTTTATAATTTTAACATCAATATAAGCAATATAAAATTTGGAAAATGACTTACTTCAAAACCAGCTTGTTTATTTGCAAACAATCGCATTAAATGAGGAAAAACAGTTTTATCTATTTTTCTTAATCCGTTTATACAATCTGCCATTATCTGCGAATCGCATTCATCAACAGGACACACATCACACGAATCATTAGAGGTCTCCAGATCAATAATTTCAATATCATTTTCATCAACTTGATCAGTTAATTTGTTTGTTTTAGGATTATCATTGGCATTAAGTTTATTCGGTACAACTATTACAATCGGATCATTATTATGATAAAACGAGTCTGTCTCTGTATTAGCTTCAATATTTTCTGTTATATCTATATCTGTACTAGATGAATCTATAGATAATTCTGTCACTTTACTAGAATTACTATTTTCACATAGTTCTGTTACTAAATTAGTTTTAATGTTTTTAGGTAATTCGGTCACTATAATACTAGAGTCAATATTATCAGAGTCAGTCACCATAATAGTTTTATAATTAAAGGTAGTCTCTTTTCCATTATTATTTAACACAAAATCATTGCTATTATTTTCAATATTTGTTATTTCAAATTTCTTAGTATTTGTCTTGTTTAAATTATCTGTTTTAGCTGGACTTTTAACAACTGATGTAGATGAATTTTCAGATGATTTATTGTCTTCTATAAAATAGGATTTTTCTATTTCCAACAAGTTATATGATGACATTGTTTCATTTTTCATTGGAAAACTAGTTTCATTAATAATTTTGCTGTCTTCAACAGATTCATTTTCATTTACCTTAGATAGAGTTTTTTTAATGCTGCTTGCACTGTCTATTTCTTTTTTATCATGCTCAATAGATTCAGTTCCATTTGTCTTAGATGGAGTTTTTCTAATTTTGTTTGCACTGTCTATTTCTTTTTTATTATGTTCAACAGATTCAGTTCCATTTGTCTTAGATGGAGTTTTTCTAATTTTGCTTGCACTGTCTATTTCTTTTTTATTATGTTCAACAGATTCAGTTCCATTTGTCTTAGATGGAGTTTTTTTAATACTGCTTGCACTGCCTATTTCTTTTTTATTATGTTCCACAGATTCAGTTCCAATTATCTTAGATGGAGTTTTTTTAATACGGTTTTTATCTTTTTTTTTATGTTTTCCAATTACATTTTTTTTAACAGTATTCGCTATTGGGTTCTTAGGATTATTAACACCAATTTTTTCACCCTTGCTCTTTTTTTTGCCATTCTTGCGTGTTTTATTGGAATTTTGAGACTGTTTTTCAGTGTTGTTGTCTTCAGTAGATCCTACAATATAATCAAGTTTTTAAGGATTAATAAATTAATATATAATCAGTAATATGACTTAAATAATTAAACTAGTAAGACCTTCTTGTTTGCCACCACTATTTATAGTTGTTCTTAGTTTTTTTTTTTTCCCGCCATTGTTGTTATCACTAGTTAAAGGTCGTTTTAAACCATTTGTCGATACATCATTAACTGTTAAAGATCTGCGAGGTGCATCTGAAAAATATAATATAATATTTTTATTTGAGTATTGTTTGTAAACAAAAAATGATATTGAAAGATAAATAGAATGCTAAAATTTAAAAACATTTTTCTGCTGCTTTATTATTAGAGATGAAAACTAAAAACTTTTTTTTATATATATATATATTATTGAATTAATGGTATAAATCAAGTTTAGTGCACACACAGGTTTCCGAATTTTTTTACAGAGTGAATATATGTAATATACCTTTTTATGCTGATATTTATGGTGCAAACAGAATTGAACTTTGAAATCAGTATGTATTGTGAATATTAGACATGTTGTGTTAAATAACTTAATATTACACTTCCTGAATATTGGTTCTTGTAACCTAATGATGTGTACCTATTGTTATTACAGAGTTTCCTAGTTTGAACCAGTGTCCCAGTAGCTTTTCTCCAATGTTTTAAATTGATTGATTGATAACCCATACAAAAAAAATTGTCTTGTAAAATACATTTATTTTATCCTGTGACCTATTTGATTTGGTGTTGCGTAGCAAATCGAATTTCATTTGGTGTGTACTAACATTAAGATTTAACCACCCTCCTCCCAAATAGTTTTTTTTTTATTTTTTTAACTTTAATATGCAAATGTTTGAAATAACTTTATAATTAAGTTTTACATAGTTTATTAACAATAATATAAAAAGCTAATTCACTAAAATTTTGAACATAAAATTATTAACATTTACAAAGAAATATTTTCAAATTTTTGGTAGTTAAAACTTAAAAATGTGATTTTTGGAAAATTAAGCATTTTTAAATATTTTAACTATAACTTCCATAGGAAGTTTGGGCAGGTTTTTTTTTAAGTACCATCAAATTAAACATCCAAAAACTTCGAAAAAATTCCACAAAATTGTTTGGGAGCTAAACTTCATTCGTTCCAGATAGTTAAGTACCTATTGAGGCATTCAGTCAAAATAACTAAAAAAAAATAATAAAAGTATTTAATAGTTATAAAAATGATTTAGATGTACATAGCCAAATTCAGACCAAAATTGCGGCTATACAAATGGCATACAAATTCATTCATAGAATGCCCTTTCACGCCTAATCGTACGGTGATGTATTTTTGTCCTAAAAACTTCTTATCATTTGTACGGATCAGATTACTAGTCAAATAAATAACTATAGGTATAAGCGACCTAAAGACACAACACAACATTCGGTCTCATATCCACAATAAACTGCGTATAATACGAACCATTTTATTCTTTCACCTAGAGTTCTTGAAATTAGATTCTTTATAATTGAATGGCCATTTAGTTTTATTAGGTATCTACAATATACTACCTATCATTATTGATAATGATCAATTACTTATATTTTAAACATTTTAAATGTAAGTCTGATAAACAATTTTTCAGTCACCCTCTTAACATACTAATAAGTACCTAAATATACCTATACTTAGTTTAATTTAGGTATTCTAATTTTAAAATTTAAATAAATATAAAAATGTATTTATTTTATTTCATTTAATTAGAAAAAGGGTTGAGTTACCCAAATATAGAAGAACAAGTAATGTGAAAAGAATATCTAAGTAACAGGTGCAAATGTTAAATACAATTAAAGAGAGTTTAGTAGCGAAAGTTAGGGTCCTCATTGAGCAAACACATTAGACAGTTAAAAGGAGAATTTGATAAATAGTTAGTAGTGGAAAGAAGTAGAAGGGAGTAGAATTTCTAAGTTGACGGGAAGGCACTCTTAAGTTAATACTGGCTTAATAATAGGATATTACAAAAAGTAGAGAGCAGATGTTTATGCTCAAAAAAATTTAAAAATATGCTTAGAATTTATTTAAAATATATATAAATACAATTAATTTTATAAAACTTATTTTATTTATTAAAAATTATCATTTATATACACAGATTTTCTGAATTGTTTACTATAAATTTCAGGACATTTTTTCCTTAATATGGTTTTTTTTTAGAATACCATGCTTTGCATATTTGCTTAAACATTTTCAAAAGACTTTACTTTTAATTTGTTTGTAATATTTTAAACAAGTTGCTATTTATTTTTGAAACTTTTGATATGTTTATTTGTATTAATATGCTGAAGCACTAAAAAAACGTTAATCACCATTTACTGAAATATTACACAATATACAGTATAAAACAATTCCAGCGGTAGAAAAAAATAGGTATAAAGTTTTATATAGTATAGAAACTTACTTCGGACTAAAACGAATCTAATGAAACGTGGAACACAACTGAAATTGACATAAATTTTATTGCGACAATTAATATGTATTGAGGAGTACTATCGCAGGTTATTCCAATTTTTGAAAAAAAATTGTTGTACGTTATTGGTACTGATTATTTGAAAGAGGTACTATAGGTATTACGAAAAACATCAAATATGCACTAAAAAAAGCATGATGCATATAAAAATATAATTAAGCCAGTAAAAACCTAACAATATGCAAAAATATAAAATTAAATTGGAATTTGAATTCTTTGAATGATGTAACAAACAAATTTCTATCTTACTCCGCATTAATTTAGATGTTATAAAAAAAATATGATAAATGCATAAACATCCGCTCTCTAATAATAAGTATGTATTTAATACAACAATTATCTAAGGTAGGAAATACCTACCTAAAAAACATTGATTTTGCATTTTATGTTATCAATGCAAGCAAATGGTAATATGCACAGTAATAAAGTAAGTTGTAGTACTACTAAAAATAAATACACAAAAGTTTTGTTTACTTAAATTAATAAAAAAATTTAACATGATAAACTATGTAATACAAATTGTATCAGTTGACTGTAAAGCCAGGTCCACACTAAGACAAACATTGTTGTCGAATATGTTTTCCCTAGTCTGTGTTTCTTATGTGTGCACGTACAATTTTCAAATGTTCAACTCAGTCCTCAGTATGGACGTGATAGACAAGTTATAAATTATAATTTATACATAAAATGGAGTTAGCTTTAAGTGAATAAGTATTGCTGAATAAATAATCATGGTTTAAAATGTTCATAAGAAGAACTAATTATTGATCAAGCTTACTATACATTGTATTATTATTGTTTTTAAAACTTTAAACTTTAATTTTAAATATTTAATAAAGAATTATAGATTTAAAAACATAAGTGTTTAATTTATAATTATTATTTAATAACAATTATTTGTTTTTGTTGTTAAAATATTGCACTGAAATACTCATAGATGTAGTAACATAAAAATTAATAATGCGAGCAGGAAATCTTTAAGTTGCCAATTTATAAGGCAGAAAATCTTTTAAGTTAAAAGAAAACTGGTGTCAATCATTTCAAAACACAGTAATAATAGTCGAATCAGGAAACATTTTGAATGAATATGTTCGACAACCGATCCTAGTGTGGACCCGGCTTAATATTGTTGCATTTTTTTCTATAAGGAAGTCATTATTTTTGAGCTTTTAAAATATTTACAAGTATGACTTTACTAACTATAATATTTAAATAATATTTTATGATAAATGTACAATGTTAATTTAGGCATCTTAATAATATTTAATTATAATTTCAATTTAAAATATAATACATTTATTTATTTATTAGCCATTGAGATATACCTATTGTCATGAAAAAACGAAAATGTTTAAGTTAGAAATCAGGATAAGAACCTACTACCAATACCAATACAAAACATAGTCAAATCAACTGATCACTAATGTGATAAATATATAAACATTATTATTAAACACAAACGAAAAATAAAACAATTGTCTGTTTCTTATACTAAATATCTACCTAATTCAACAATAACTAAAAATATATCAAATACTTTGCTAGTTATTTGATACAAATGTGCAAAGGTATACCTATTATATCCAAAACTAGGATCAAATATTAGTTTTCAAAATATGTAGATATTAGGTACTTATATCATACGAATGATAAAAATATTGATACAAATTCAATAATAGTATTTTACTAACGAAAGTTCTTGTCTAAACCTACCTATGATATAAATGTTTGAATTTAATAACACGATCAATAAAACAACATGTTACGCAGTCTGTATGGACTGTATAACCCGAAGTAAACAAAGGTGAAAATTTATTTTATACAATTTCTTACCGTTGATTATGTTGTTTTTCAATTTTCTTTTAGAATCCTCGCCATGCTTTTTGGACATTTCGGAAAATATATACAACAATGATGAAACACGGTGACAAGAGGGTCAAAGCGACCGGGCTGGGGCCCGGTGATCGTTGAGACGACTGGATGACGACGATGGGGACGAACTACTATTTTACCTATGTGTTATGTGACAAACTACTGTCGTTAAGCGTTCTTTATCAAAAATGATAACACCAGCGGAACTGTTATCTTTTCAAATAATGGATTTACATCAACGACGATAATGTACTTTTAAGAATACTTAAATTATGCCAGTCAGTAACTAAATAAAAAACGGCACCATTATATTATAATCGACGACAACGACGGTACGGGCGAGAGGCGACTGAACAAGACTCAAGTCGTATAACAGAAAAATACAGCGTAATCAGTACTGTGGGTTGGGTTGGCCGGGCCAATAGAAGACGGGAATACGACGCGCGCCTATCACGAGTTTCCGACCGCAGCGTTGTTGTCTTGTCGACTTCGATAACCACAAGTCGTGGTAAAGTGTAGACTCTTTGTGCGCCTGTCCGGCGTAATACAGTGCCGACTTGCCGGGTCACGATCAACACGGCAACACCAATTGGCAACCGCGCGTTCTCGGCCCACGGTACGTTCACGATGACTGAGAGCCCAGGCTTCGGCCAATCCAAACCAACAGTCCAGACGACAACGAATCACCGTACTGTATGTTCTGCACTCTGGTGGCAGTCAGAGTTATTATCGCCACAAGTACACTGTATAGGCGCACGCAGAAGGAGTTAGGTAGTCATAACCCTTTCCGAAATATCTTCCTACACTGCATATTTTTTTAATTAAGTTTCACATTCAACAATATATTATCTTATACCACAAAATTTAATTTGATCAAAAATCATTTGTTCAGTAATAATAGTGATAGTACAATCGTTCTGTATTGAGAATATGTGCCCCTATAACATATTGTTATTACAAAAAAAAAAAAAACCTTCCGAAAAAAATTCTACGTGCGCAACTGAAATAAACTGAAAATAGTGCTACGAATGCTTTGCCGCCACGGAGCAGTGAATCACCACTCACGTGACTGGCCGCCGACCGGCTCGGAGGCTAAAGCGACGTTGTGACATCGTACGGGACGGCCAGACGGATCTCCGAAAGGCGCACACTGCCGCATACCTACGGCGTTCGGTTTGTCCTATACCAATCACAAAGGACGAACACATGTGTAGACAACCGATCGCTACAGAACCTTAAAACGCTTGGTTATTTTACACTCTGCTCTGTATATTATGTCCGTTCAAAAAATCCCGGTACCTGAATATATATTTTTTGACGACCATTCAGTACGTCCCGATACCCATATATTTTTTGACAGCCGGACAGCAAGTCCGATTTTCACAAATTTGTGTGCGAAATATTTTCGATTAACATCGATGATAGGTACATTCTATACTGTAACTGAATTGTAAAAACCTGAACTGTAACGTTCAAAATAGTTGGCTTACGATGCAATTTTAAAAATGCTCTTATATTATATTATTAAGATATACCGGACACATATTCACGATATCGAGAAAATAAATAAATATAAAACCCCTGGAATACCTATATTTTATTTGAATCAGCTGACTGTAACTGTACTATATTGTGTTCTTATAAGTTTACAACCTGTTGTTTACATTTATATAGGTACCTACCAATTATTGCGAATTATAAGAATGATAAAATCTAATACGGATACAGAGAATAGATTTTAAATATAATATATTCATAAAGCATATGCTAAAGAAAAGGTTACGTTACACCGAAGCGTCGACCCAAATTAATCAATATGTGTTGCTGACGTAGGTTTTATCAAAATAATCTAGTATTCGTTTTCCACATGGACATATAATAATAGATTCTATTATAAGTCTATGGTTTTCTTTCAAAATGTATCTATCGTGCAGTTAGTGGGTAGATAAATATTGACACTACCTTTCTTTAAATCGTCAGTTGGTAAAAATGCAGGTACGTCAATTTTACAAAAAATGTCTCATTTTTTAGTTACCTTATATCCATGTTCCTGAACTTTACGATATTATATAGTTTGTGTATTAAATTATAAAAACCGCCCTGAATTTACATATTTTTACTTTTTTCGTTCTCCTAGATCATTTTACTCTATCGTATTAATTATCGAGTTGTAATATTTATACAAATAGTTATCTACATGTCAACACAAAAAAATATTTTAATTATCTTACATATTTCATTTTTTAATAATAACTATAACCTATAGGAAAAATCCGTGCAAATATTTCGTACCGAAAATTAATAGATAAAAGAAAATGTTTTCGAACTACTTATCCCGTAAAGTATAAAAATATACTATTGGCCTATTGTACAGATATTTTTAAATGGGATTTTTTGACATCGATTCTGTAGAACAGAGTGTATATTATATATATATATATAGATAGAACCCCATTGTACATTGTAGGTAAGTACTTATAACGGTTCTTCCGCTAAAACGATTTATCGGAGAAAAAAAATATTGTTGAAAATATGTGTGGTGTGTGATGGCTATAATATTTTATATATATATGTATTGCTATATAAATATAGTATCGTAAACGACGTTGTAAACAAAATAAATTGTTTCATTAGGACGTAAGTATTTAATAGTTCCATAAATAGGTAACATTTTCGTTAAAATAATCCTATTTAACTAGTGATGGGAATAATCAAATCGCCTCGATCATTAATAGATCGTTCGATTAATTCGATACATTCGTATGATAAAATAATCGAATTATTTCAAACTGATTTTTGGTACCATCTAATGTACCAAGAATTAATAATTAATATTGTAATACAAATTAAAAACGTAGTTCACAATAATAATAATTTTGATCTCGTACATAAGTACATTATTTATCGCTACAGTCTATTATAAAATATTGTGTTAGGTGCCTACTTGAGGTCTCCTAGTCAATTCACGATTGAATAATAATTACTTATTATTAGAGTAATTTCGTCATAAAAGATAATATAGGTATTATAAATATCCTCCACCATTGTCGGTTCACTACCCATCATTTGGTATTTTCCATTGGTATATTTATATAAACGTTGGTTTAAAAAGTTGTACAAAAACATTACAGAAATAGAAAATTGAAATACTACTTTTATTAATAATACTCTTATAAAACTCTTATTAATAAAGTAGGTAAGCATTAGTATCGATTAAGTATGCTTAATCAATATTCTAATGGAATTGGGGAATATTAGATAGTGTATGACCTTATATTATTATAATATTGCACTTGATCGGTATTTAGAATTTACTAATAATTCCTTTCCATTTCCCATTTTATTTCGTTCGAATGAATCATTCTATTATTCGATCATTTTTCGATATCAATTACTATTTTTTCGATCATTAAAATCATTAGATTTTTCTCATTACTATAAGTAGTGATAAGTAGTGATAAGTATTAACCTATATATATAAATAGATCACTCTCTGCTGTCGATAATTTTCTCGAAAAAAAAAAATATATATATATTAGTCACCTATTAACCTAATTATTTATACATCCAGAATACACTTAGTCCGCCTTAAATCAAATATGATTAGGTCTATGAAGTCCATGGACACGTTGGCAAGGTTGCTGATACCTATTAAAAACGCATGAATGTTTCGTATTTTGTTTTTCTTTGATATTTTAAACGTTGGCAACCCTGAAGTGCATAATAACGCGCATTCCAATGTGAACACAATACTAAATCGTACATTAAAATCAATAAATGACAAAAAAAAATACGAAACCTAAGTAAACCGTCTAAAAGTTAATTTTTCAACAATAATATCGGTCCTAAAATATTATACATTAAATAATAAACTTTTTAGTAGACTAATGGCAATTACTAATTTAAATATACAAGGTAATCAATATATAATATAGTTTATTCAAATCTTGTAACTTGTTTTTTAACTAATATTATGTTACATGACCTTGCCGTTATTTCTAGGGGTGAGATCATTACAAATATTTGGGAAATAGATGAGCTTTTTGATTGTTAAATGCTGATATTCAAAAGTTTTATTTCTATCAGCCTGTTGATGAGATATTCAAATTTTAAATTCGTTTTAATGCTAATTCGAGTAGTTAGAGAGTGTCGATCTATTGACATTTTTTGATTGGAGCAATCTTTCTGGTAGAAAACAGAAGTTGCAAAAATTTAAAATCTATGTAATCGGTAACGCCGAAGAGCGCCGTAGATAGTTGCCATTTTTCCGATAATTTGTTTCCAATTTTTCCCAGTTATAAAAAAAACTCCTTGAAAAATCATAAAATGTCCTCCCCAATGAATAACTAGATAAATTTTTTATTTAGAAAAGGTACTATACTCTAGTACTTTACACATCGGAACAAAATTCTTATAGAATAGTTGTTCACAGAGAAAAAGTTCGTCCATGAACGTCAAAATAAAATAAAATCAAATAGTGCTTATCAAAATAATAAATAAATCAAATTACACAATAAAAGTTTTAGATTCGGAGAAGCGTAGCGAAGGATCTATTAGTTTCACTATGTGTTTCTTTTCGTCTTAACGAATTTTTAAACAGAAAAAAAATTATAGGAAAAACGTCAAATATTTAAAATACATCGCGGTGTTTTTAATTTATACACACTATGTGTTTTACCAGAAATATTGCTTTAATCAAAGAATTCCAATAAAACAATTGTTTCAATCTATAGTTAGTGACTTTGAAAATCACTTTTTTTTTCTTTTTCATAATTGAGAAAACTGGAAATATTTCAAATTTACGGTGTACAATTTCATTATTTTACATTTTTACACTTTATGGTTTCTACCTACCAGATAAAAAAACATTATTTTAACATTAAACAATTATTTACACCGGAAAATATCATAGTAAAAACAATATATTTCTGGCCTTCTCAGAATCTAAAAATTAAATTGAAAATAATTAAAAAATCATAATTGTCCTAAATTTTCCCATTTCCCCTACATTTTTTCTAATGCTTAGATAACTACTGTAAAAATCAAAAAACGACCTTCCACTGCACTAACTAGATATAGTTTTCTACCGGTATAGTATAAATATTACAGTTCCTTGTAATTTTTTAGGGTTTTCCCAATTATTAAGAATACTACAAGGAAAATCAAAAATAATTGCCTCATTGCACCAACTAGAAAACATTTTCTACCAGAAACCATCACCTCAAAAATTAACGACAGGAAGAGCTGGGCTCTCTAATTTAAATCCTAGCCGAGCCGGATATTTTTTTTTACAAATACATGCCGGTCAGTCAAGTCGGGTCTGTAATTTTAAATTTATTACTGACCGGGCTTTGTTTTTTTTTATAAAAACATACTGACCATTTCTTATATTTTATTTTTAACCTATTACCATTAGTCCTACAAGGAAATGACGCGTGATACAGTTATTCGAAAATAATAAGAAAAAATCAGGGCCGGGTCGGGCTATTATACA